AGGCCAGGATTTCCCGGCCATTTTTTACGGGTACATAATTTCATTAAAACACGAATAGAGTCAAGAGTTCCACCGCTAGGCTCGAAGAAAGAGTCTGCCTTCCAAGCAGGGGATATGGGTTCGATTCCCGTTATCCGCAATTGCGATTTGATGAAAAAAAAACTGAGATAAATAAAATGCGCGTATCAAAATTTAAAACTTGTCGACAAATCTTGGAAAATGTTTGGCAAACAAAAAAACTTACTCAAAAACAAAAAAAAATTCTTTCGAAGGCTCGAAAAAAAACAAACAAGGGATTGCTTTACAAAGATGCTAAATTTCAACAACGCTGGATCTCTGAGATGAAATTATTGAATCCTAAATTTTCGGAACAGATTGACTTGCTTCACAAGTAGAGTAGAGAGGCAAGCAACAAAGCGCTTGTACAACGTCTCTAATCTAATTAAATTAGATTAGAATAGAATGTCGGTCGACCGTATACCTGACTTCACTGCATCAGCAGACTCGACATTGGGCTTCCTTTTCTCAGTCCACCATCTCCCATCTCCCCCCTCTTCTTCGTCTGATCCCCTCCTCTTCGTCTGTGTATGGTCTGGACCTGGCTCATTCTTCCTGTGTGTAGCTCCAGGCCCCCTTCACACCTTGTGATGAGGATGATGTATGTTTGGTCTGCATTGCGACATTGATTGGCTAGTCATTGGTATTCTAGCATTTCACTGCGCTGTCTTGTACTATGTGAGAGAGATCAGTCCCGGTCAGGTCAGGGCTTATATCTAAGTCTTCCACTGCGCTACAGAGTGCCATTTTTGTATGTATCAGGATGTACACTGCTTGTTGAGATTCCACTAACCCCTACCCCTTTGGAAGATCTGTGATAAACCCTACACCCTAAACCCTTCGCCTGCGCCCGACCTCTAAAAGTCGAACCCTTTCCCATTTTATATGCCCTCCCTTTTTTTATGATATCCCTAAAATCCTTAGCCCTATGCCCTCAACCTGTGAACCCGTATTACAACAACCTTTTTGGGACCGCTCTTTCCCCTTGTTCTGGTCTTATGGCATCGTCCTTCCAACTCTGTGCTGTCAATCCATAGCTGTAGCAGTTTTGGCTAGAATTCCCGTGGGAGTCTGATCTGGCTGTGTTTTGCCCGTCCACTGTTTTCTGTTCTCGATAGGCTCTTTCTGAGTTTGAGATGTGCCAGACCTTTCCTTAAATGCTATCGTCTATTGTTCAGAAAGTAATTGATGCACCCGCCTTTATCCTCTGTTGGGAGCTCCTTTCAAGGACTGAGTTATGCCTCTCTTTCCAGTAGATACAGTCCACTCAACACTCAGCTTGCTTGATACCATTTCCTCTTCAAGATTCTGGTCCGGAGGTGTCTTGCCCTTACTCAGCTAGTCCCTGCCAGATACTTCTTCCCGAGTTAGAGTTGTGCCAGTCCTTCCAGTAGATGCGGTCGTCTCGTAGATCGGCAACTTTCCCTCCTATCAGCCACATCCTGCTGAACTTCAGTCTCGCCTTCTTTCACTGTTCCTCATCCTCTGACCATGATAGTTTTATTTTCCGCCAACAACATAGGATTTCCGCCTGTATCATTGCTTTCGTCTCCAGCCAAATCATCTCTCGTGAGTTGGACACTCCTTCGATCGTTCTGCTGCATCTTTCCTTCCATATGATCCATAGTGTCACCTTCCTGATGAGTCCATACCAGTTCTTTTCCGCTTTCCGGAGTTGATCAGGGAGTCCCATAGGGTCGAGGCTCTTGCCCAGAATTCTGTCGCCTCCCTACAGTGTATTAAGTAATGTACTATATCCTCTACAGCCCCTTCCGTGCATATTTTGCATTGATCAGAGCTGTCGGGGTCTGAGCCCTTCCGCCTCACGTGTAGCCACTGGTTAACTGGTAATGCCGCATATATGATCAGCCATTGGAGGCTTTTGATTTTGATTGGTCTGATTGTTTTGTAAATCTTCCACGGAATCTGTGTGATCTTGTCTGCTTCCTGTCCTATTRGCTTCTGCCACCYGGCCTTGATCACCGGTTCTGGGTCTYTTGTTTTTAGCAGAAGCTCATACCCAAATTTGACCGTGTAATCCTGAATGGGGGTGAGTCTCTTTATGTTTGCCCTCCTTTCTGGTTTCCATGCCCACTCCATCGGGTCGAACTCCAGATTGTGTAAGGCCGTGTCGGTTCTGAAGATAAACTTCGGCCATGTGCCTAAGACCCATACTTTTCTGAGCAGGAAGTGATCCATGACTGTCGYTTCCACGTCAATGTTCTTAATCGTTGTCATCCCCTTCGTGGAGTGGTCAATTGGGAAGGAAGTGAACAATGCTTGAGTGACTGATCCGGGATGTAGGTGTGAGAATTGGAAGGCTCTAGAGGGGGAAGTTTCCTGTACTTTKATCCCCCATTCACCACTTTTCCATGGCTCCCCTTGTTTTAGCATGTCTTTCCAATCCTGGGGAACAAGATTAATAATGTACTGCAGGTTGGGTCCTCTTCTATGGCATCCCTTCAAACGTTCACTTAGCTCTTGTTCAGAGACCCATTCCTTCTTTTCTTCGTTCCAAAGGTGACCGATTGTCCAGACTCCATTCTTTACCCATGATTGCCATTTGTGGTCCAGGAACAGGGGTTCGTCRTTTTCGCCCTTCAACCATTCRTTGCCAAAGAGAGGCTGTCTCAGCACCTCRTCCTTAGATTTTGGTCTGTTAGTCTTTTTTSGCATTATTTCCCTCCAAATCCGGATTAGAGATGCCCAATACGGTGTTTGACGGTTGTCTATATTCCCTTCTGCGTCCCTCCTGGGTCTTCGTCTCGCCCTTTTCAAGGACCATTCCTTGTTCATTAAGATTCCACTAACACTGCATTGTCCATTCAGTCCTTTTCATCACATTGCGGATCCTTGGCTATATATATATACATCGCCCAACTGGGCATGTAACACCAGCGCTGTAACCAATGGAGCTGGTCGGCCCCAGCTATGGCCGCCAGCGGCACGTAGAGAAGATGCCCTGCGTACATGCCCACAATAGCCCAGCAGGGAAGCAACGCGACCTCCACCAAGACCGTGAAAAGAAAAGCAACGAAAAGACCTGAACCAACTCGCTGCTAACCTATTTCTATACTTCGACTTCGACTACGACCTCAGGCTAGGGCAGATCAAAAAGCAAAACCTATGGGCCTACTCCGAAAGCAGCAGAAAAGGACAAAAGGGGCCTAGAGCTACCAGGACAGAGAGGAGTCCTGGTAAGGGACAGGTCAAGGGATCAAGCCCCATGGGGCTCAAAACAAAGAAAACTACCAAATCCAAACTAGTTACTGTACAACCCCACTGGGAAACTGTGATTTATTGCAGGGGAATGTGCGCTTTGAGCTGTTTTAAGTCTGTGTGGGTGTTGTCACCTTAGTTTCTGGACATGGACGCATAGCGCTGGCCTCGCTTTCTTCTTCTTCTTCTTCCAAAAAAAAAACAAAAAAAAAAAACAAAAAAAAAAACGGCAATAGAAAGGTGTCTAGTAGCTCAGAGAAGAAGAAGGAAGAAAGAAGAAGAAGATGATGTACACCAGCATAGACAAATGACAAGGCTCTTCTTCTTCACCCAACAATCTCCTCCTCCTTATCTCCCTCTTCTCTTATTCGTACAAGAAATAATAATACAATGTTGAATAGCTGATCCAGAATCAATGTCCGAGTCGCTCTTCTACTGCAGGTATCACTTGAGGTCCACCATAGCCATGGCCGCCTCCCCCACTCTTCACTCTCATAGGCCGAGGCTATGGCGGACTACTAGGCCTTGCCCAGATGCCCAAAGGACAACCCAAAGCAGCTATGGCTGCTCTAACTCAGGCCGCCAAGCCCAACCCTGCCTTGAAGCTTCTTGGTGTGGCTCTCCCCAGTTGGGGACTCCCTGCTGCAGTGCCCACCAAGGTGATGAAGATGGCTGCCACCATAGCCAGGTAGGCACCCCTGGCGCTCCTCCCCCTTCCTTCCTTCTTCCTCCCTCGTGTCCTTCTCCTTCCTCCCCAGCAGCGCTGCTCCAGCCAGCGCTCCACCAGTGTGTTGCCAAACTTGCACACCGAAAAAGAGGCCGGGCTCTTTGTCCGGCTGGAAGATATAGCGGCCTGCTTGCCTCTTCGGGCGGTGACTTCCAGGCCGCTCGGCCTTCCAAGCAACCGGTACCTCCTCCCTTTCGGAGGGAAACATCATTGCAGACTCTGATATTGCTTGTACAGGCCCTAGACCCAGACTGGTTGGACTGGTATCCACCTAGACCTAACCTACAACTACTGGGCCTCTAAAAATGCCACTTTTGTCTTCTTCTGCTCGGCCTCCAGTACCCGCACATCTACCCCTTCACGGTGCGGTACCGGCCTACCCGCGCATCTACCCCTTCACGGTGCGGTACCGGCCTACCACAGGTAAGTACCGGCCCTGAGGGCCCAATGAACGAGCAAGTGCCCTTGCGGGCCACACACATGCTCAAACCAACCAGCTCTCAGACAGGCACGGCCACACACACACTCAAGCCAACCAGCACTCAGACAGACATGCAGTCCAGCAAGCGTGCACACACAGACTTAGTAGCAAGCTGGAAACTCAGCAGGGCATTCAGTCTATGGGCAAAACTCAGAAATCAGCTGTGTGTTTCAGTCCATGTGTTACATGCTGAAAGCCTACACACGGGCCCCTCACGGGACCCGAGGTTGGAATAGGGCCCCCAGGTCGCGTCACCGCAACCTGAAGGCCCTATGGCATTTTTACTTGGGCCTGCATCAGAAAAACGCCAGCTTTAGATTATTTTTATATTCTTTTATTTATTTATTTGCTGCTGTTTTTCTAACGGGTGTACTGTTGTCCGTTTTGTGGCCAGGTACACGTTTTAGGACCAGGGCCAGATTCAGGCCCAGAGACTGAGCTCCTAAAAACGTTTGGACCTTTTCTTTTGTTTTCGAACAGATTTTTACCTGTTCGGACCCAGGCCGACGTTGAGGCCRGGTACGTCCGCACAGGACCGGTTTGAAGCCAGGTACCAGGAAACTGAATCCTGGACAGGGCCTGGACGTCCGGTAGGGACCCAGGCAGGCCGTTTTTAGGCCAAGGACTGAACCAGTTTTTGAAGCCTGCGATCTGGACCGTGGATCGGAGTTTCGATCTGCACGGTCCAGAACGCAGGCCGTGGACTCACTGGGTCCGGCCCAGCACTACTTAAGCTGGGCCAACGCCCAGTTGTGGACAGAAGGTAACAGGAGAAATCCAGCATTATGCTGGTTCAAGAACTTGGCTGCTGCGCTATTTTGGAGACTCCCTGCTGCGCTATTTTGAGGACCGCAGCTGCGCTGTTCATCGGCAATGAGGCACAGCGCTGGAGGAGTCCAGCGCCGAGGAGAGTAGTGGAGTTCGTGAGAGAGAGAGAGAGAGAGAGAGAGAGAGAGAGAGAGAGAGAGAGAGAGAGAGAGAGAG